AGAATAGAATTGAATAGAAAAGATCTGTAGGATCTGTGCTTACACTATGTTGCATGGATCTCATGTTTACACACACACAAACACACACACAGAGTCAGGTGCCAAGTGTTGCGTTATACTCCTCAACTCAAAAACTGTAGTCTCCTCCACAGTGGCAGCAAATTGTCATCACGGATCCACATGAGGCCCCTCTGACTTTATTTACCAACATATTTTTTACCTCACATCACCACTTGGTGCCTTAATTCTGAGGATCCCAGTGTCTAAGATTTCTAGTCTCTGGAGGTTTATCTTTCCTGATACTCTGGGTAATCAGCACTTGCTATATACACTGACTTTTAATTTGAGTTCAAAAGAATTCCATCTTGCTACACAAAAAACGTGCTGGCGGCTAACAGAGCGTTCATTTTTTCTTTATACACATAACCAGATGTGATTGAAATGAGCATCAACAATTTGAAAAAGCATAATGCATAGGCTGTTAAATATGTACAATTAGAAAACATCTTACGGGGCCAGCCCGGTGGAGCAGCGCTTAAGTTCGCACGTTCTGCTTCTTGGCGGCCTGGGGTTTGCCGGTTCAGATCCTGGGTGCGGACATGGCACCACTTGTCAAGCCATGCTGTGGTAGGCGTCCCACATGCAAAGTAGAGGAAGATGGGCACGGATGTGAGCTCAGGGCCAGGCTTCCTCAGCAAAAAGAGGAGGACTGGCAGTAGTTAGCTCAGGGCTAATCTTCCTCAAAAAAAAAAGAAAACATTTTACTTATTTTTAACCTCATTTCTTCTAAATTTCACCAATTGTGGTTCAGACTCAAGACGTCTGATCTAATGAAGTGCCTCCAGTATCATCTTGTTGTTCAGGAATAGTAGAGGGGATGACAATATTATCATAGTGATATGATTTATGTGTTACATTTCAAACAGTGAGTCAGTGATGGAATCAAACTTGGGACTCTATATCTAACGGGTTCTTGTAGTTCCTAGATAGTTTTTAAAATATATCTGGATAAAAATGGTACACGTCTTTGATTTTATTCAAAGTCTCTCAATAATAGGAGAAAAAATTCTTCTCCCAGCTCTTCTTCAATAAATGTTTTTTAACATTTTTTGTCTATAATTTAATCTCAGTGTCCTGTAAAGTCCTGCTTTTAGTATCTGCTCTCAGAGTTGAACTGTTTGTCAAATTTCCATTAAGCTGAAGGTGAAAAATTAATGAACCTCTTACTTTGGATGTTTCAAAACTAATGCAAGTCTATTAGTCATGCAGCACAAAAAATCGAAAATTTGGGCATGTTCAATTATGGTTTAGGATTCACTCATATTTAACTTTTAAATGAATTGTTCCATATGCTTAATGGAGCATTCTAGAGAAAAAAGAATACAGTTATTGATTTTTTATTAACAGATAAATATATCTCAAATATGAGTTTATTTATAGAAATACTTTTTCTTTTAACCGCAAAAGGTAATTCTAGAGCAAGGTTAATCAGTGAGTGGATGGGGATGGATGGGTTTTGAAAGCCTATGTGATAGGTGTGCTGTGGGAGGGTAGTTAGCTGGGGAGAGAGCACAAATGTAGAACAAGTGTAGGATTAAGAGAATTATAATTCATTCTTCGGTTGTACCCCTGTTCCATCTTCTAGGCATTCAGAAAAGCAGCAAGATAGAGGCATTGAAACCATCTTTCAAAGAATTGTTGATTCATTCTTTCTTTTTTCCATTAATTGTTGAGCTTCTCTTATGTTCCCAGCAGTGTACTAGGCGTTGTGTGTTATGCAATGATGTAGAAAACTTGGTCCTTGTTTTCAAAGAATTTAGAGTTTAGAGGGGGAAAACAGTGTTTTTACATCGTGGCTTTAATTAGAAATAACAAGCCCTGCCAAAAAGGTGCAGAAAGTGACTTGTGAGTTAGTCTTTGAAGGGATTGTGTCATTCAGACAGGATATGATGCATGAGAAGAGCAAGTAAAATAGAAGGAATGGCTTAAAGAAAACACGGAGGATGTAAATCACAGAATGTGTACGGGACAGCTTAAGTTTCAGCATAACATGTATGGAGAAGAATGATAGGAAATTATATTGGCGATATAAGGTCTAAGACTGTGAGGGGCCTTGAATGGCAAGTGAAAGAGTTCAGTATTTGAACTGGGGAGAGATGAAATCATGCAGCATTATAAGGAGTTTCATTTTGTGATGGTAATGTGTCAGCACCTAACATCCATGAAAACTTCAAAATAACAGATTGCACCTTTCCCGTAAATACTCTTTCATTGTCCCTTGTAGACTAAAGTTCCACAGGTAATGGCTGAGGGAGAAAGTACATGCCGGGAGAAGCGGAGATGGCTATATCAGGGCTTCCCAGCTGGTGTGCTTGGGCACACTCTCTGTGCCTTGAGATGTTAATCTCAAGGGCCCCAGGTGCAGCCTGGAGCAGCAGGGACTCAGGGCAGGTCACTTGTAGCTGAGAGCAGCTTCCTTGTGGTCTGAAAATCCCCTTCAGTTCACCTCAGCGGGCTGCGTGACTACTAGCATTTTCTCTGTGAACCACGCAGGGCCTGGTTCATGGGCATACAAACTGTACAGCTGCACAGGGCCCGCACTCAGAAGGGCCCACAATTGATGTAATTCTCTACTATTGCCGCATTGAAATTCTTCATACTCTTTGAACAAGAAGTCCCACATTTTACTCTGGGCCCTGCAAATTATATAGCTAGTCTCAGTCCTATGACATAAAAAAGGTTAGGAGGCAATGAACTACACGGTGGTCAAAAATGCACTGTCATATATCTGTATAAAAGGGGTTCATACTAAATTAGGAGACCAGCACTGTGCTTCTATAACAAAACTGATCCTAAGCTTACATCTTTATTATTTTTTCTTCAAAGCCATGACTTCTGTAGCTGCTGCAGGCCTAAGCCAAATATCATTTTTCAGCCTTGTGGTTTTCCAGATGACAAATTAAGGAAATACTTCTGTAACATATTTTCTCATTTATAATCTGCCTCCTGGAGCCTGGGTACCAGTATCTTTGAGCTCTGCACCCCCTGCAGTCCTATCGAATTAAATTCTGAGAAAACCTTTAGCAATTACTTTCCCTAATAAAAGTTCTGAAAGACATACTTCTGGGTTCACAAACATTATTGGCTGCCTGATAGAATCATTCTGTTGTGTATTTTCTTTTCTGAGTCAGTATAAATGTATAAACTGAAGAAGTATTTAGTTCTTTCCTTAAGCACAGCTTAATTTTTTCCACTCTCTTTACTCTGAGTACTTGTTTATTTTTCTCTTACATGTGTTATCATAGCTGTTTTCTCTCTTTGTTGTTATTTAATTTTTATTTTTTCAAAGTTATAGGTGAATATAAGTAGTCAAATATTTCTACGAAGCTTCATTTGTAAAACCACGTCACCTTCTCCGGTCCTTCCCTGTGTCTTCTCGCCCCTTTCTCTCTCCCAAAGGCAAATACTTAATTGCCTTGAACATTTTTAGTTGTAACCTACTTTTTACATTTACCTCTCTGTCTCTCAAGAGCATGCTTAAAAATTGAATTCGTTTTTCAGTTTTATCCATAATATTGACTTACCACTATGGAAGATAAAGATTTAATTTTCTTTTGCAAATCTCCATGTAGCCTCATCTCTGACTTTTGCTCTTTTCTCCTTTTTCCTAAAGAATGATACCACTTTTTGTGTTAAATAGTCGTTACTTATATTATTATGACTATGTATGTATTATTCACATCATCCGCTGATTACATTTCCTTCTCGAAGAACTTTTTGCTCCCTTTGAAGCTAATAATTGTCTCATTTTATAGATTTCTTATTTTTCTGTATGTCTAGAACCTCTTCAAATGTTAACTCTTTGATCTTACTGTAAATATTCTCTCATCACATTAGCACACATCTAGTATTCTCATTATTTTTATCTTCCCGGACACCTCTCTCCCCCAGCCTCCTGACCTCCTACTCTTATCCTCGCTAGGTTTGCAGCACATGCTCTATCTTACAATTGTCCTTGGCTGAGAGCTCCTACTTAAGAACGGCAAAATTACATTGATTTGAAGTTCTGTATATGGTGGAATTTATTGACTGATGGGTTTTAATGTAAGATATCTTGAGTGAGTTGTTTTGTTGGTAGACTTCCAGATTTTTGGTATTTTTATATATTCCCCATTGACCTGGTCAAACTGACTACAAATGAATGTTCCATTGCCCTGCCTGGAAGAAAAGATTCTGGGCTCCAAGAGAGTAAAACATCTGAAGAGTCTCAGCAATCGTGATACCATCCCATTTTAAATATAAGCCTTACCCTTCACCGTGTCTGGTGGCTCCCGATTCAGCATCCCACTTTCAGTTTCCTGCTGGAGGGAAGGTGGTGGGAGGTTATAATAAGCACTGTTCACATTGACTGGGTGAGTGAGGGGTTCAGGAGGAGAGACCCCTTCACAGTCAGAATTTCATCAAATCCTCCTGTTTCCAGCCTCTCCCTCACCCCTCCTTTAATAGATAGCTGGTGTTGCCAATTCCTAAACCTTTCCGGGCTCTGTGGTACAAACTGCATTGCTTCTCAGCTTCCTCCCCCTGCTGGCTTAGATTTTGGTCTCCTTGGGTCTGTTGTATCAGTTGACACTTATGCATCTGCTTTCCAGCTTTTAGAATCTTTTTTGCTGTTGTGTCTTATTCTCTTGGCCCCTGTGGATTTATGCTTTCTTATTCCTTGTTATCATTTCAGTGGAGTTTTATGGAAGAATGGAGGTAAATGCATGTGTACAATCTGCCATCATTAACTAGGATACATAATAGTATTTGGACTGAATTTTTATTATGAGGTACCTCAAATCATTTTAAATAAGTAGGCAGAGTATAACTAAGGAATAAACAAAGAAATGAACTAAAATATACTTACCGCTCATATTTAAATACTTGTTACAGAAAACTTCCTTCAAGTGTTTTTAATTTCTGTTTACTAAAGATTCTGTTCATTTCTCTTTTGAATACAGATGGAAGCTTTAGGCAAAACCGGTCAGACCTCACCTCTCTCCTTGTGCAGCCCATCTCAGCATCTCTCGTTGCAAAACTGATCTCTTCACCGCAAGATAGAACCAAAAATGGTGTCTGTAGCCCTCTAGAACTTCCAAATAATGGTAAAGTATTTAATGGCTTTCTGTGTGTCTTGTAGCTTTTGTAAGGACCATGATCATTTTTAATCTCCTAAACTGACATGTTTAGGATTATCCTCCAAGAAAACATTTATTTTTGATGAGGTGAGCATTTATTTCTCTCCTTTGGCTCTTTAAGGGACATTTTGGAAAGTAATTTTGATAAAGACTCACAGTTGACCAAACTGAGAGGTTAAAAAAAGAAGAAAAGCATTTTGAACTGCAACAAGGAAAAGCAGCTTTACAAATAAAGCATTTTGTACATTCATGACAATCTGCTTAGCGTAGCTTCCCGGTTTCAGCTTCAGCAGTCTTGTTGCCTGCCAAGATTCAGTGGATAGCAGTCAGCTATCTGGGGTATGAAGTCTTTTAGTAGAAAGCATTAAAGCCTAATTCCAGCAATTGACTAAAAAAATCCCTCTGTCTTTACACATCATCGCCCGAGAGATGCTTCTTGTACTGCAGTGCAGTGTGTCAGGCCTTGTTGGACCACATAGGATAAAACTAAAGTCGTTAAGCTACCTATGGTGGGATGAAAGCCATGGACTGCATCTTATTTCTGCCTCCAGCCTCAGCATTAGAATTCTAAAGAACAGACTCTCTTTACATATTGTTAAATTTGTATCTGGTTGCTGTGAAATTCGACTTGAGGGCTCTGTTTTTTGTGTCCAGACCTGGAGGCCCAACTACCCTTGTTTGATCACATCTGTTTTTCTCTTGATAACAAAAGTATACAAAAAAATTGTTTTGAAGAAGTCTAAAAAACCTGAGCACATTCAGTGTGGCCCTCTGTTAGAAACAGACACTTTTCAAAGTCCTATAGATTGAGAGCCCTAAACTACTTATCGATTGAGCAAAGTGGGAAATGTAGAAAACAGGAATAAGCCTATGTCTTCAAAGCAGGATCAAAGCAGACTGCAAGGAGCTTATTTTTTCTGTTTTCTGTTCTGAGCTCCATAAATTGATCATGGGTTCTATTTGTTAAAATATGCAAAAACCACTGTAGTAATAGTTTAGTTGTAAGGAAAGCACTGGACCAGATTTAATTAATTCATTGGTTAATTCAATAAATATTCAGAGGTCCTGATGTGTTCCAGCTACATTTCTGCCCTCAACATGCTGATAGTCCCCACATTAGCTCCATGACTGTTCTGATGTCACCTCCCTACTGGAAGCCTGGATGTCTGCATGTACAGAAGGATATCTAACCTTCCATTATCTCAAATTGTTCTGAGAATCAAAGTATGATGTATGTCCAAGTACTTTTGTATACTGTAAAATGTTAGATTAGCAAGTATCTTTTTTTATCAAAAAACTATCAATTTCCTCTCCAATACATTACACTTTGGCGTAACAAGAGCATAGCAAAGCAAGATGGCACTCTCCAGCTGTATCTCCACAATAAATTAGCAACATGTATGAAGCTTAGAAGAAAAATTGAGATACATATTGAAACCTGTTTACAACTCTAGTGTTAAAGAAGCAACAAGATAGACCTGCTTTCTAAGGAATTATGCCATATCAAGTTTTTCTCATGGATATAGTAATTATTGGTTATAGAAAACTTCAGACAGATATATTTAACTAGAGAAGACATTTCATGTTATAATGCATCCTTCTTTCACCTTTCTTAAATTTACATTTAGATTTCCCAATTGATTAAGCACTGTGAGTGATTTGTTAAATTTAAACTAAATTTAAATGCAGGATAATGACCCTTTACCCCACTGTTTGGACAATAATGCTGCTGAATACAGCTAAGATAATTAACTTCTAAGTTTTCTCATAAACACATGAAACACTTTAGTTACTCACTGTGATATGTATCAGGGTGGGACATGAAAAGCATATAGAATGAGGTGCTATATTTTTGAGCACCAAGAGCAATGCTTATAGTTTATGCATTAAAAAATAATTTAAATTGTATTATAACTATATCTTACTGTTGTATTTTCTAAGTATAGACCTGAGCTTTAGTGCAGGAAAATCTTTACTCAGAAGTTTGGACAGGAGAATATTAAATATGTGTGCAAATCAACTAATTATTTTACTACCCATTTAATCCTTTATGTACACTGAATTAAGAATTCTCTAAAGTCCAGACAACAATGTAGTGGAATTTGCTGATCATATTTGCTTTCTTAGCATCCCTTTTCCCCTTCTGCTTTTGGAACTGTTGCCAACATTTTCCCGTAATATAGTACGAATAGGTTTAACTACATCTCAAGCTCTAGAAATAGATCTTGATTAACTCAAGTCTATTGGCATTTCACATCAACCATATTATGATGATTGGTTCAAGGATGATCTAAGGCTGGCCAAATAGGGCCAAGACTCAATTTCTGGACTTTGTTTGAGCACTGACTCACTTTAATACTAGAGCTGAACAAGAAAGCATGTAGCCCTGGGATCTTTCGGTAGTCTTCTTGGGACCTTGAGAGTTTAGCTTACCTGAAAATGGAGCCAACACAAGGAAGGTGTAAGTGGATAATGGAGAGAACATAAAAATAGAGAAAGAGATAGATAAAGGGAGAGAGAAGAGAGGCTCCTGTTCACATAATTTGAGCCCTAAATAAAGTCATATCTGAAAACAAATCTACTGAATTGGCCATATATATGAGTCAATATATTCTCATTTTTTTCCAGTTAATTTATTGTTGGATTTTCAGTTGCTCACTACCAAAAGGTACCTAAGCGATGCAGACCATAAAACTTAAACTAAACAAAGGAATTAAATATTACGTTCATGAAATAGACCCAATGAAGTGAATTAGAGACCAGGACATTTGTAGGAAAAGTCCTGAGAGAACTAAGAAAATTGTATGAGGAATAGAAAAATAAGTAGGAGAAAAGTTCTTGCTTAAATATATATGGATTGTTCACATTGATTAGATAATTGAATATTGACTCCATTTCATTTTTCATCGTCTTACTTTTTGTAGGTCTTACCCATCGATCTAACATGTTGTCGGTCTTTGTCCTGGAAAGTCAATCAGAACATGGAAATTTGAATTTTCAGATATCAGTCTGAGCTTGTGGCTCAAAACCATGAATGTTGTGAAAAAAGGAGAGGACAAAGTGTAAAATGCATTAATGTATTTTAGGATGAAAAATATAAATGAATGAAGTTAAAATAATTTTAATATGTTTGAATCACTTTTGATGAATAGAAAAAATGTATAAAACTTAACGTCATCAGTGATGACTTTTTCACATTAGAAATTTGGATCGTATCTTTTCAAATGAATATATATATTTAATTTGTTAACATCTACTTGAAAGTATGCATTTTTATCATTTCTTGAGCAGAGATTTAAAAAGATGTATTGAGCATGTCCACAAATTGTGGTTATGTTAAAATTTATTGGTAAATACTACATATTAACTTTTCAGAAAATATCCATGAACAAGAGATGTTAGTACAGTGGACTCCAGCATTATTTTTTGTTATGTATGAGACTAATCAACCTGTTCAGAGTGACCCCAAAGTTGCTATATGTGGGAAAATCTAGTAGAACATTATGCTATTCTGGTTAAAGAATGTCTTGAGATATCCATATGTGTATGTGTGCATGTATATGAATATATATATTGATATATATATCTCAAGTAGTAATGGAGTGGTATGGATGTGATATGGTATGGCCCATTTTGGGCCCTCCGAAAGAGAGAATTCCTTAGTAGGCCTAAAAAAAGTAAAAGAATTGATAACTTGTTTTAGAGCAGGGTGGGCTTTAATAACTTCTAGCCATCAACATGGAGGGAAATATCCAGAAGAACATAGGGGCCAATTTAATTTGTTCAGACAACTTCTATATAGCATACATATAGATATAGTGGCCACTCTATACAAAAAAGTTCAGTGAGCTAAACTACTTTAGGGAAGACTGATCAGTGTTGTGACAAATGGGAGCTGGATGTTAGCAGTCACTAAACTGTGCAATGGTGACACCCCAAAGTTATGACTCTTCAAGTAGCCAGTTGCACAGTGAACCTAGGAGTCTGAGCTGGAAGCTGATGACAGAGTAATCCGTAGAACTAAAGATCGGCCTTCATGAGCTGCCGTTCTGAAGTCCTCAGACAAAAGAAAAAAAAGCTTCCGACAATCACTTTGAAAGACTCTTCATCAAGGGTCTTAAACAGAGTGAACATAGGTGGGAAACCTATTGTCCAAAGTCCATAGAAAGTACAGTCAATTCTCTGTTTCCTGGGGAGTGAAGGTTGAGTTTACCAAGGGTGACACAGATCATTCACCCAGGACTTCTCAAGTTTCCAGCTTTCTGTCTTGACTGTTTTGATTTTAGGAAATGATTCAGCTTAGATTCAGTCTAGAGTTTTGTTTGTTTTGTTTGCTAAAGACCTAAAGACAGCCTGAGATGTGCAATTTTAAGCAAAATTACTTTAACAAGTGTTTACCAACTTTCAATGTTTCTCAGTTTCTTATATTCTTATCACATTATTTCTCAAGTACCTGTCGCTCCTTCCAAATTACAGAAGCTCCAACTAAACTTTGTAGTTTATACATATGATAAAATCCTTTAGAGCATACCATATCTGTGTATTTTGATGATACTTTTTTCACAATGGGCTGATGTCGTCATTTGCTAAGCTAGAAACTGCCGAATTCCTTACTGCATTTCTAGTTCAGTATTCTGCTATTTCTTTCATGTATCCAGTATCTCTCCCTGTTATTCTATTCAGTGTTATCCAGATATGTCTTACATGTTTGTGACTATAAGTTGTAAAGCCCCAGCATCCTCTAAAGCTCAGGGTAAATGTCATCTCCTCCATTAAAAGTCCTTTAGGGTTCTACTCAAGTTGGAAGTAGCCTCTCCTGACTCCCTCTGCCATGCTTTAGGCACTCACATGCTACCTGGCATTGCGGTATCACATTCTTCTCAGGCAGAATTTGGCAACTTGGATTTTCATTAGAATGTGTTGTTTCCACTTTATTTCTATATGATTTCATTTCTTTGATGTCTCCT